AGCATCTAAACATTTTCATTTGTTCCAAATAGTCCTAGAAGGCCACAAAGTATCAATTTTAAAATATTCCATTCAAACGCCTATGTTGTCATCCTAAAATGATGTGGTTTTCTAACTGATGATGAGGTTTTCTAAGTTACACAAGGTACATAGTGTACACTCTCTGTAGAATGAATTTGTCTAGTCCTGATTGTCTGTATTCCGAAATCTTTCAAAGTCCCTTTCAGTACATTCAACAAAATGTAATGTTTTCTTATTGGGCCTGTTTCTTTGGAACCAGTGGTTACCTGATCAGGCATGTTCTCATTTTGAGAGTAATGTGTGGTTGAATTTTTCCCCAAGAAAACTCTCTGCAAAATTGCAAAAGTCTTGCCAGTGTTGACTGCATACAATATGTGTTACTGTGTACATGTTCATTATGTTTAACATGTTTTCAAAATAAATACCAGTAATATTTTTGTTTTCCATTTTCAGGGAAATTCAACTGTTGAAGAGACTTAAACACAGACACATTATTGATTTATCTGATTTGATTGAAAATGAAGAGAAACAGAAAATGTATCCTTTTTCTCTGGACCAGCTGATCATGCATATTCTTACAAAATTTAAGTTTTCATGGGACAAGGTCATATTTTAAAGCTCTTAATAAAATTGAGTTATGTTTTTAATGAAATAGGTAAATATTTTTTCACAAGATGAATGGTATGCAACTTTTTTTTTCATGAAGATGATTAAAATGCAGTAGTGCAAACATGAAAACTGGTAGATTCCCCAGACTTCATCGGTACAGATATTATAAGTCCTCCAAATATTAGAATGTGCCGTATGCTAACCATATGTCAAACAGTTTATAGAGATTTATAATTATCATGATACAAAATTAAGAAATTAAAGTTCGTGGTTTACAGCCAATGGTTGCTACACTATAGTTTAGATCCTGGGATAAATTTCAACATCTGTTTAGTATGTAATCTATATATAGTTTATGAAGTCCATCATCCTTAACAATGGCTCCAGGTATATGGTCATGGAGTTCTGTGTGGGAGAATTACAAGAATTGTTGGAAGCAGCACCAGATAAAAAATTCCCTGTTTTTCAGGCTCACAGGTTAGTTTAATCTTTAAAGTCCATACTCTCCGAAATTCTGATATTTTAGAGCATTAACAAGTTCTGATTTTAAAGCAATATGAGCTGCATTTTGGAGAATATTATTTTGCTGGTAAAATGTGTTATTATGATTTATCTGTATGTAATCTAAACCAATATGATCAATAAGACCAAAATAAAGTTATAAAATGTTTCAGAAGAAATATTTCTGTATACAGTATTATATAAGAGAGATCTGCTCACACCTCATTTCTGTATACAGTATTATATAAGAAATCATTATTGTACAGGACGACAATAATTCAATTTTGCTTTAATCAAAGCTTATAAAAAGTTCTTCCATAGCAAATATGAACAAAAGAAGTTTATAAATGTTCTATTTTTCCTGTCATTGAAATAGTCAATAACACATTTGAATTATTTTTTTTCCGATGTCAAACATGCGGCTCATATTGCTTTAAAATACATATGTACACTGTACAGTAGTTTCATATACCTGTATATGTATTCAAAGATTACTGCATTCTTTCATAATTTGTCATTAATTCATCATGTATCTTGCCTAATATGACTTGTGAGGTATATATGTACTGAGGACTTTGAATCTGCAGGTTACTGTAGACAGGGAAAATTTTGCTTCTACCGGGTATTTTATTTTTGCTACTTTTGCCCTATCCTCAGTTGGACAAATTTAAAAAGAGACAAACTCATCTTTGATATAATGTTTGAAACAAAACTGATTGGGCGATTTCAAAATGGGACAGAATTGTTTGCAAGTGTGAAAGGGCAAAAATAACCCTGTATCGGTATCTGCATGCCTATGTATTTGACTACTATAGGTATTTCCGTCAGTTGGTTGAAGGCTTGGAATACCTCCATGGGCAAGGAATTGTTCACAAAGACATCAAGCCTGGAAACTTGCTTCTGTCAACAGAGGAAATTCTGAAAATTACGGATCTAGGTGTTGCAGAGGTAAATATTGCTTATTGTACAAATGTCAGAAATGTATATGAAAAATCATGGAAGTTTCTTTCCATCTACAGATCTCTGTAATTAGTATCAGATACATGTTCCAATATTTATGACTGTTTAACCATTTGTTGTGTGACATTTTCAGGCCATTGATACTTTTGCTGTAGACGACACATGTCACACCAGTCAGGGAACCCCAGCATTCCAGCCTCCCGAGATTGCCAACGGATTGGAGTCCTTCTCTGGATTCAAAGTGGATATCTGGTCCAGCGGCGTTACACTGTAAGGGATTCAACTCCGTTCACCAAAGGAATTTCTCAGATATAGACTTAACATTTTGATTTGCATTGCTGCATTTTTATTGACAGGTACAATATGACTACAGGTGAATATCCATTTGAAGGAGACAATATATTTAAATTATTTGAAAACATTGGCAAGGGTCAGTACAAAATCCCTGAAGGAGTGGAGGATAATCTGAGAGATCTGCTCACAGGTCAGTCTAATCACCTCAACAAATCGAAAAACCTCAATTCCACAGATATTAGGTTACCATAACTATGTTTTCTTGTAAAAGCTTGGTAATACACATTAAATGAAGCTTATCTTGGAAATCATATTTATTTTGTGTTTTTCTGGTAATTGGTTTATCAGAATAATCACCTTAAGTAATAGCTCATTTGTTGTTGTTGGTTATCAGATACATAGTGCTTACTATCTTGTAGATTATCAATCTTCTATGTAAATACCTAATACTGGTTCCTTAATACAAGGCATGAAAACTAAAATGAGAGGGAGATTTTCTTTCCTGATTACATTTGTACCTTTGAAGAAGCCTTTTGTACAATTTTTTACTCAGATACAACATTGATGTATGATATAAGACTTATTCTTCCTGAACAGGGATGTTACAGTATGAGGCAGCAAACAGAGTAACTTTGCAACGGATTAAGAGACACGAGTAAGTGACTTACAGCTTATAAATGGCACATTATTGTTATTTTTGTATAAAGCTTATATTTGGTGAAGGAAATTATGTGAAAAGGTTGGTTCTTTTTGTTTATAATTTCTATTAGAGAGGTATGAATTTTTGTCCTTATGATTACCGTGCCTGTCTCCTTTACAGTTGGGTGAGGAGGAAGCACCCTGTGACCCCTGGGTTTGTGGCATTTAAGCCTATACAGGGACATGATGACATGCTGCGTGGTTTCACGGTGATACCGTATTTAGAGGACCTCCATTTCCACAACAGTGAGGAAGAAGAGGAGGAGGACCAAGAGGACCATTATTACTCAAACACGATCGACTCACATCCTCAAGTCGAGCTCAGTTCAGCTGGTGCTCAAAGTGAGTAGCATGTCAACACTCAAATATACTCAAACACGATCAACTCACATCCTCAAGTCAAGCTCAGTTCAGCTGGTGCTCAAAGTGAGTAGCATGTCAACACTCAATTATTACTCAAACAGGATTGACTCACATCCTCAAGTCAAGCTCATCTCAGCCGGGGCTCAAAGTGAGTAGTATGTCAACACTCAATTATTACTCAAACACGATCGACTCGCATCCTCAAGTCGAGCTCAGCTTTGCTCAGCCGGGCACAAAGTGAGTAGCATGTCAATTATTACTCAAACATGATCGATTCACATCCTCAAGTTGAGATCAACTAAGCTGATGCTCAAAGTGACTGAGTCAACACCTGTGTGTAACTCACTTAATCTCTATATCTTAAATACAGGTAACACTTGCCTTGATCACGTTATCTCCATACCTGTCTTTATAAAAGACACCCATCAATCATTTTCTTTATATACAGTATTTGTTCTGTATAACTCTCTTCTCAATCAATCTCCATTCTTAAATATTTATATGGTGATGTTAATTTTTTTATTGGTACATGTACTGGTATTAGTTTACTTTTTATTTTAATTTCAACCTGTCTCTTTCTCTTTATAGACTCCAGTAACAATTGTGAAGCTAACAACACAGAGAAGAAAAAGAAGAGGAAGTCAAAGGGCGGGCTACTCAGTTCCTGTCGTCCGTCGTAACAATTACCAAGTTATACACAACTTAATAGGGAGGGGGACCTGTAATCAGGGGGCGGGGCACTTCAGGGTAGGGGATATTTGTGTGGGCGGGATCAGCTTTAACATTAGTCTCAATATAACCTCCAAAGGCCGAGGACCAGTGTTTTTCTGTTTGGTGCAGACTAGATTGTACATAACAGAGCTAACTGTGATTTGTTTTTATTATGGTAGTTAAGTTTGTATATCCATTCCATTGATGTCATGTCAAAAAGCCTCAATGAAATCACTTGTATATAAAAAAAGAACACAGTGTTTGTTATTTTTTCAATGAATTTTATATGCCCATATCAGATGGGCTTATTATGGTATGGTGTTCATGTCCTCCCATCTCTCTGTTAGCTGTTTTTGAGTTTAGCTCATAACTTTTGCAATGAGGCTTCAAATCATCAAGCTTGTTCAGCTCAAAAGATGTGTTACATGCGAAAAGTAGGTCATACCTTCAAATAAAAAAAAAAAACACTGAAAAAAAAACGAATCTGCCTCTTGATTTGAAGGCTACTAGTATTTGGCCTAGAATTGTCAGACCTGACCAATATCTTAGAAGGTGAAATGCCCTTTCATAAGGTCAAAAAATCCTTTGATATCAAGGTGATATGTAAACACAACTTATTTAAAGGGAGATCAATCCTGCAAGTGCATTGCAGTTTTCATCTTAAATACATTTTAATGATATTATAAAACAGCTATATACAATTTTTTGTTTCTAAAAATGAAAAGACTTAAGAGTATATCACACAACAGATTAATGTCACTTGGGAATAATGTAATCCCAATAACTAAGTTACGGAGTGTCATATGACTCGATAAGATGAAGAATAAAATATTTTAAATCTAATGAACAAAATGAATTTAGTACTTTTGATATTTTATTAGGCTGTGCATTGTTCAACATTCATAAAAATTACAGGGAACAGAACTGCATATTGGGAATTTGTGGCATTTCACATGACTAGTTGAGAAATAAATGTATATGATGTACCATTTGTTCCAATTAACTGTAGCAGAGGAGAAGAACATCAAAATTTAAGAACAGAGAAATGAGTTCTTGACGTGATTTGTTTCTGGTTAAAATGAATAAACAGTATTGAGATGTGATCTTGGGCCATTGCAGTACAACTGAATTATAAACATCAGGTGAAGAGCAAAGAAAAACATCCCTTCGATTCAGAATGTTGGAAGACTTTTGTCTCCATATTTAAGTATGATTACTGTACACAAATTTTCGAAATTGGACAAAACATGATAATTACAATTTAACTCTGTCAATTCTGATGTCAAGTAGATGCCTAAACTATGATGTCAAATTTTATTGTTGAATCACAGCAAATGACTTGGTCTGTACACCGTACTGCCACTTGATATATTCAGTTATTGGACTTGAACCTTGTCCCATCTTGGCCTACTTTTGGGATAACACAATGCTGGGTGTTCTCTGTTCTCACTTGTTGATTGTCACGTGGGATCAGCCAGTCTTGGACACTTCTGTGAAGCTTTCTCTTTATTGTTCTCAGTTTTAGCTATCCGTGATCCAAACTGGATAGCTCTCTTTGGAAACAGAGCTGACTTGATCAGTCCCAGCTTCACGGCACAGGCCCTCAGGAGGATCTTCTCCCCTAGTCCCCGGGGGTAGCGTAGATCAGCCTGTTATATAATGGGGAAATATAATTAAGATTTTATTGTAAAATTGGATTAATTAAGTTTTTATAATTTACACAAAGAAGGAGATGAAAGAAAACATTAATTAATTGGATGGATAAATAATTTCTCAGACAGACCTTGGTTTGTATAGGAATAGACTGAAGGTAGGACACAACATTCTCATCAAGAAATGGAAATCTGGCTTCCTTTCCATGATCTGTCACAACTCTGAAAATATATGTTAGGATTTAATACATATCCAGTCCTTCAACTTCGATTGCCTAAAAATAATTCACAGTTCACCTTTTGTATTTGGAACACTTTATCTTGAATACCCTGGGTATGCCCTAGTGAATCAAAAGTCTCAATCACTCTTTCTTTTAAGTATCTAAACATAAATCTATTTAAACCTCAATTTTTGAATCCTTGGATTGTCCTTTTTTGCCCCATAGATTTTAAGTTGATTTGAATGTCACACTTTACATTAAGATGTGTGTCATTTTCATTTATGGACTTAAAAAACCCATGAGACTTCCTGGAGATGCCCAAGTGATGATAATCTTGGTGATAATATTTATGGATTACCTGTCATCCCTTCCTAGATTTCTGGCAGAAATTCTCTGAACTTCCATTTCTACTTCATCAATAAGGCCCTGCCATCCTAACTCCCTACAAATATTACAGTTGAAGAAGATTGACTACTGTAAAGGTTAACTTATATGATATTGACAAAAAACTTCAGTAGACCAGAGCTCCAGATAATTTCTTACCCCAAAGTGTATTTACTCCCTGATTTTCAAATCAATGCAGATTTTGATTTTCATCAAAATGATTGATGAGTATTTTGTTTATATATAAATGTTTTGACCTTTATTTTGATTTTGAGCATGTAATCGAAGTAATGTTTTTGAAGAGGGAAAAAAACCACAAAGGTCAGTTCCTGCATTTATTAAATAAACCAACAAAACTTTTGCTAAAATTGGGAAGCATCCTTTTTACAAGGAAGATTATACAGTAGGTCAAGGTACCATAGAGTCAGAGACACAGAAAAATTTCCCTTCATTTAACATATCGTATCAAGAGTAAACTGAGAGAAAAGAATCTTTGTAAATACATGGCAAGTTGAGAGAAATGAAAAATTGGCTATGAACCGATAATAAAAAAGTTATGCCTAGTGCATAGTCTTTCTATTCATAGAAATTGATTTAATCTAGATCTCTGATTCTTCCGACCGAATTTGAGATCATTGTCACCGTTACTAGAATATTCCTGGTCATTAAAAGGCTTTGAAATCTTAACTTCGTTTGGAGAAAAATTAAACACTGAATTAACCTCAATTCATATCATTAAGTAAATTGTACCTGCATTTTTTAACCTATTGTACGCAGTACTTTCGTGATGAAATGCATATCTACGATTGCTAATGCGTAATTGTACACCCTATTTTTATTTTCAATGCATTTTTTGTAAAATTCAATGCGTATTTCTACAAATATGCACCTTATCTGGAGCTCTGAGTAGACAGTGCAATTGATAGTAAAAAAAACATAGTTTTAGGTGTTTAAAAAAACTATTAATGTGGCTCAACTTCAAAGAAATCTGAGTATTCTATGCTTTAATAATCTTTACAAATAATAACTCACTCAAATTTTCCTCTGTGTCTGGAATATCCAGCAAACTGCTCATCAGCACCCATGCCACACAATATTACCTAGAGAAAGTTAAACATGCAGAAAGTTAGCTCTCAGTCAACACAATATTACCTATAGAGACAGATAGTGTAACTAAAATCTCCAAACTACACAATATTACTTACAGAAATAAGTATCAAACATCAAGATCTCATACTTGTTGACCTCATTAAATAAGGGTCAGAAAGCTTTCATTAACCTCTACCCTTACATAAGATAACATTAATTCATATGCTACAATGAAAAGTAAATGAAATCTGTGTGTACACAATAAGATAAACCATGCCAAAGAAACTGTACACACCTTAGCACTACTTTTGTACGGAATCCCAACATGCTCTCCATTCCCCAGAATACCCTCTCCTCTGGCAGCAAACCACACAGCACATCCAATGCTATCATCAAGTACAGTCTCCAACGGATACACAAGATGGCGGATGTGTTCTGCTCTGTAATGATATAAATGTACACAAGTTTATTAAGCATGTAGTATTAAAAGAAATCTCATTCAATGCTGCAGTATGAATAGTTTGATGTTGAAGATACAGAAGTTAAACACAGGTCTCTTAATTATCAGTATTCAGAGTTATCCTTCTCTTGTAAACCTGTTCAGCAGATGAATACATGATTAAAAAAACAAATTTGTAAAAGTGCCATAAAACATTAATTCCTTGAATTTCCAGAGGTTGGATCGGGTGCCTTGGAGGAGTAAACACCCCCTGTGTACGAGTCAAAGCCTCCTTGAACCCTGTGCATTGATCAGGTCAGAGATTTAGCATGATGTAGATATAAATAATGCCCTTTGAAGATTTAATCACACATTTATCATTTCAAATTACAAATTAAGTACTGTAAGTTTACCTTTGTTTTTGTAATTCAGCAATGCTTACATTCACCTGTTAACATTAATAAAAAAAAAAAAACATAGAGTAAAGTTACTACTGTGGTACAGAATATCAACAAGAGAACACATTGATAAATGACAATGATATATCAGTAATTATCTGTTACTCTGCTTTACCATAACAAAGTTCCACTTCCTGTCTGGATTGAGTTCCTGTACAGCTACTATCCCAGTCTGTCTGTCTGGAACATTCCAAGCTTCCTCCACACTTGGATTTCTATGAATGTTAATTAAAGCCTCATTTATAACAAAATGATGACAATTGTGAACCATTTTAGTCAAGAGTTCTGAATTACATGTATAGGTCAAACGATATTTTTTAACAGTCAGACATACTGCCAGCCATTCCAGCAATAACAATACAACTCATCATTGAAGGAGCGAGATAAACAGTAAATACATATGTAATCTGTACTAATCATACATGTACCAAAAAAATTATACCTTTGCTTTTGTGGAACAATTCTTTCAAAGGCTACATTGATAAGGTCTACAGGCTCATGGGCTGGCAGACACCTAAAGAATGGAAAAAGAAAATTCCATATATAAAAAGGAACAGACCTTTTCCATATTACTTTTTAATAAAATCAACAGTGTACTTAATAAATCAAAATCTTCATACTTGTCAACCAAAGCCGCTATCACTGCCGAGTCCACTCCTCCAGAGAATAACACGGCAACCTTGGCTGGTCCTCTCACCACTCCATCTTCTTGATTTAGACTTACATTACTCAACTCACTGGACACAGAACACTCTACTGACTCAGATTTTAACTTGTGAATCTCATCTGCATTCTCTAAGTCTGAGGAGTTGTATGAAGTTGATGGATTAACACGATATTTATAATCTCCATGAGACAACATAACCTGATTAAACACACGATCTGTTACACTCTGTAATAGTAGACGAATAAGGTCATCCACACACGACTTAAACTGAGTTTCTCCTAGTAAGTTATGTATCACCGACTCCTGATCCTTAGTTATAACCTTGGAGGGGTCAAGGTCGGGAAGAGTTTTGTTTAATGGTGGAATATTTTTATTGAGGTGGCAGTCAGGGTGTAGGTCGATCTTTACATTACAGTCTGAGTTGCCCATTAATCCTGACCGTAGGTTTTCAGTAGTTATTGGCTCCATAGTTCCTGGCCACACAGCATCAGTCCAGGTGTACAGGGTCATGTTTAAAAACTCTGTGTGTGTGAGGTCAACTGAATAAATCCCAATAGAAGGAACCTCCTGTAAATCCTGAAATCAAAATAGGGAAATAGAAATTAAGAAACAGTTTTGTTCTAATCTACAGTACATTTAAACAAAATGGTTTCTTTACTAAATGAGGAGTCAGGATGTTTGGACATTAATATGACTCACTGTGCCCAACTGGTGGGTTTATTGTGTGTGTTGTAAAACCTTCCTTAGTATATGTAAGTGAGAGATAAATTTGTAAAAATCATGGAATTAGGGTTAGGGTGGCTCTGTAAAAGGGTGTCATTGATTTGTAAAAAAAAATATACATTGAATAAGATTTTGAAAAAAAATTCTTTAATCTAATTTTTTCTCAAACTTAAGACTTAAGAACAGTAACTGCAAGATTAGTAATAAATATGCAAGCATCTCCTTGTGATAATACAAGTGTTCTGTTGTTTAGGATATCCCAATTAGAGAGAGATTGATACCTCAGTGTTTTGTCGCACGGATGTCAAAATGAAGGGGTCGTTCTTCTTTTCTGGTAAGTGCCAACAAAGGCTTCGTCTTCCAAAGAAGTCTCTTCCAAACCACAATCTTTTCTTTTCTTCCTGGAAGTAAATTATGTTGTTTAAAATCCAATATATATTTTCTTATTCATATTTTGTCAATTTTTTTTACCTCTTCTACTTGGGTTTAGATCTGCATTCAAGAAAATGTATACAGCCTACTCCGGATATATTGAAATTTAGGGGACCATGAAAATTATTTCAATATATCCGTAATTCAATATAAGCGAAATCGTGAAGCCGCCATTTTCAATCCCGATTTTAAATTAAAGAACAAACCCGAACAAATTAATTTTGTCATTGTTTACCTATAACAGTGTACAGATTACATGAAATATTAGTATTTGAACGTATAAATAATTGTTTTTCTTTCTTTTTTATCAATCTTCAACTTCATTATTATTCCCCGATCGCATTTATTCACATTCTGGAGAAAAATCACTGATGTCAAACTGCTAAACGCTGCATGTATTTTATCGTAAGTGTACTCCTGACGGGTTGATCTCTTAGCTTTGAATTTAGGTTTATCATTAGCAATTAACAGTACGTATTTAATTCGAAAGTTAAGTTTTTTCTAGATCTATGGGGGTTACTATGTTGCCTTTAGCCTAAGTACTTCCGTATGTAATATATACATGGAAACAAAGAATTTAGCAGTAAATAATTGTATTTCGTAAGAGCAGTATAAAAACACATCAGGTGAAAACTTAATTATTCACACGTTTTTAAATCAACTGGTCAGTCAGGCATAATTTCTGTCGCCAACTTAAATAACAGCCGCCAGGGAGTACTTCAATATAACCGTTATGAAAACAACTCATTATCACCTGTGGGGACCGATCAGTGGCTTCAATATAAGTGATATTTCAATATAGCCGATTTCAATATAACCGTTATTTTAATACAAAGAATATGAGAGTCAAAAACTGGGGATTTATTTTTATTTCAAAATAAGCGGAATTTCAAAATAAGCGAGTTCAATATAAGTGGAGTAAGCTGTATTAAACTCAGTCAAAAGTTTACAGAAATGAACAGAATTAAAATGTATATTTCTCTGTGTGTGTGTGTCATTTACCAACAATGCCCTGTTAATATTTAAAAAGAAACCTACATACTTACCTATAAAAATATTTGTCAAAATACATAAAAAAGTAATGATCACCCTCTCTAAGCTTACCTGCCAATAAACGAATGCCCATGGCCCGTGTATTTTTGAAAATGTATCAATCACATGCTGTGGATCTGCTTTTTCAGACAGTATTTCAAACAGCACAGCTGTGTCATTTTTCTCCTCTGCGATCTTTTAAGAAAAAATGTTGGCCAGTCAGAAAGACTTGTATGTTTATATGTACGGTCAAATATATATTAAATCTTTATAAAAATCAAGCAACATTTCCCCAAGCTTTACGATAAATTGAAGATTTTGGGAACAGATACTGACTTGTAACCCCCCAAATATCTCTCCATTCCACAAAAGACAGTTTCCGTGTTTATCTGTTTTCGGCTGTGGAGTAAGTGGTCCCCTCATGTGTAGCACATGTCCAGTAAGGGTTAACTTTGTCTGCGAATCGATGGTAACCACAGTCTGAGAACTTGCATCTGGGCCTCTATTCTTAAGTCTTGAGCAACTAAATGTATAATCCTGTGAAAAGAAATAACACAGAGAAATGATTGCTAAGCGTGCTAAAAAAAAAAATACCACAAACAGTTACTCTAATTATACATTCTTTAAAACGTTTGTAATCTTTAAATATATAAGGAAATCCTTGCCTCATTTTCTCCCCGAAGTAAAACACAACAAATTCCACACATGATATCTAAAAAAAATATTCACTCTACTGTAACAACTGTGTAAATACTGTTATACATGTGGTATCATCAGGCGTGTTTACTGTCAACTACCGAACTCAAAACAAGAAGACATGAAGATAAGTTAATTTTTAAACCTATAATGAGCGGAATTCAAAATTCCGTATTATTTGTTGACAAATTAAAAGTATGATGCAGAGCTTTTTCCAATCTTTTCTTGTTTTGGCCTTTTTCCTGGTTTATTATTTGTTTTTATTCTGATATTTTCTATAGTATTTATGATAAAAATATAGAAAAAGAAATTTGTCGGCACTAATTGTAGAAAGAAGGAATTAATTAAGGGACCATGCAAAATTTATCCTAATGATGTACAAAACAATTTTTTTTTTAAATGACATGTTCCATTGCTTTCTTACTCAAAAAAGATATTTGTGCCATGCCTTTAGACTTAAAAAAAAGTTACTGAGATGTTAGTAAGATTACTGGGACAAAAATAATAAAAAGTACAAACGAAGCTAACTATTATAGTTACTGAAGAAATCTTTCAAATTACAGATATTTCAAACATAGATGAGGGTTTTTTTTGTTTCTTCATATTCATAAAACTCTTATTAATATTGTTTGTTACTTTTTTTTTTATTTTTTTCCCCATTAATTTGAAGATTTATGATGCCATTTGTATCCCTCGTTTGACTATAACATATTTGACTTTTTAAAGAATATTTTTTTGTGGAATAAAATAATTTTTTTTAAATATAATGAATATGTCTCTTGAGTTAAGTATTGTAGCTCATTTTGAAAAAAGTGTGTGTCCCATAGATAAAAAAAAAATTGTTCAACGACACCACTTACCGTTACCCTGACCTAAAAAGAGACATTTGTTTATATTCCATTTTAAGCCCATTTATAAAAAAAAGTAATTTTCAACGATTTTCCCTAGCCCTGTAAATGGGACGAATTCAAACAGAGACATCATTCAACGCTTTATTTACATAGAAATACAAATACTTTGAAATTGAAATGATATCCAGCGCATCTTTCATAAATATTGATTATCGAATATTAAAAATTCTGTGCATGTATTATACTGTTACGCAGAATTGATAAAGAATGTGATACAAATTTTATTCTTAAATAAAATTCGAAATTTGAACAGTATTTAAACCCCTCCCAAAGTATCAGTACAAAGAGGGTCTGGAGATTCAGGGAACTTAAGACAATTAATGAATCAGCGTCAATTACAAAGTTGATTATTATTGATAAATACAAGAATACAAGGGATTCAGAACTGTAAAATTAAGGATCCAACCACGGGCACTGCAGTTATGTAAATATTGAGTATGTGCAGGTATAAAAAGGCCATTCTTTTTAATGCTTGCACATACTTAATATTTACAAACTTCCAGTGCCCATGGATCCTTCCGTAAAGGATGCTAACAATTGTCTTGCACCACCAGTACTCTTGGGAGAATTATTATCGATGATAAGCTACATTAAACTGAACTTTCATTTTAAATAATAGGTTCGAGTCACGTCAATCCTGTGTACAAGTCTATGGATAGATTCAAACACCGTCATCCTTTTAGTCTTTGGATAGATTCAAACAACATCAAACCTGTAAATCTACACCGCCATATTATAAGTCTATGGATAGATTCGAACACTGCCATATCATAAGTCTATGGATAGATTCGAACAGCTCTATATTTTAAGTCTATGAATAGATTCGAACAACGTCATCCTGTAGGTCTTTGGATAGATTCGAACACCGTCAATTATGGAAGTATACGGATAGATTCTAACACAATCATCCTGTAAGTCTGTGGATATAGAATTGAACACCGTCAATCCTGTAAGTCTGTAGATAAATTCTAACATCATCCTGTAAGTGTATGGATAGATTCAAACACCGTCAATAATGTAAGTCTATGAATAGATTCGAAACCTTCAATAATGGAAGTAAATGGATAGATTCGAAACCGTCATCCGTCAAGTCTTTGGAATGATTCGAACAACATCAATCCTGTAAATCTACACTGCCATGTTGTAAGTCTATGGATAGATTCGAACACCGCCATATTATAAGTCTGTAAATAGATTCGAACAACGTCATCCTGTAGGTCTTTGGATAGATTCGAACACCGTCAATTATGGAAGTATACGGATAGATTCTAACACCGTCAATCCTGTAAGTCTATAGATAAATTCCAACATCATCAACCTGTAAGTCTATGGATAGATTCGAACATCATCAACCTGTAAGTCTATGGATAGATTCGAACATCGTCAATAATGTAAGTCTATGAATAGATTCGAAACCTTCAATAATGGAAGTAAATGGATAGATTCGAAACCGTCATCCGTCAAGTCTTTGGAATGATTCGAACAACGTCATCTTGTACACCTATGGATAGATTCGAACACCGCCATGTTGTAAGTCTATGGATAGATTCGAACATCGTCATCCTGTAAGTCTTTTAAAACTTCGAACAACGTTATCCTGTATCTTCACAGAGTTTCAAACACAATAAATTCTGTAAGTCTATGGATATATTCCAACACCATCATCCTCTAAGTCAATTGACAGATTCGAACACCATCAATAATATAAGTCTATGGATAGATTCATCAAATTTGTAAGCCTATGGTTAGACAGGAACACCGTCAATTCTGTAATTGTATGATGGCTAGATTAGAACACCGTCATCCTGTGCACCTATGGATAGATTCGAACGTCATCCTGTAAGTCCCTGCTTAGACTCGAACACAATCAATTCTATAAGTCTATGGTGGTTTGATGCGAACACCATTAATTTTGTAAGTCTATGATGGACCGTTTCGAACACTGTAATCCTGTAAGTCTATAGATAGATTCGAACATCGTCATCCTGAACGTCTTATGATAGATTCAAACACACTAAGTCTATGGATAGATTCGAACGCTGTCAATTACGTATGTCACTGGATACATTTTCACACCGTCTACTCTATTTCCATGGATAAATTCGATTATCGCTAGTCCTGTAAGTGTCGATAGATTTGAACGCTGCCATCCTGTAAGCCCATCAGTAGACTCGAACACCGTCAATTTTGTTAATCTTTTGGTAGATTCATGTAAATCTATGGATAGATTCGGACACAGTCGATTGATACTCAGTAGATTCGAACATCGTCATCATGTTAGTATATGAATAGATTCGAACACCGTCATCCTTTGCGCCCTTGGATAGATTCGAACACCCTCGTCCTTTAAATTTATAGAATGTAACAAATGGAGATAACAAACAGTATTCAAGATCAAAAGTCCATAAAAAAAAATACAAAATAAGAGCAGTGCAAACACGGACCTCCAAAACATCAGAGGAGATCAGGTGCCATGATGGAGTGAACATCATTTGCTGACCGGTCACATCTGCAGTGTGCTCCTTGTCATGATGGGGAAATAACGAAAAAAGAATCTTCAATTCGGTGTATAAATGATGGACTAACAATTAGTATGGAAAACGTCAGTCAGCATTTGACTTAATAATAAATTGTATTTGCTGACAAGGTCATTGTATCGACCATAGAAAGATTTAATTACCGTCAATTTTGTAAGTCTATGGACAGATTCGAAAATTATCAATTCTGTAAGTGTATAATTAGACAAGAAAACCGTAAATTTTGTTAATGTATGGATAGAATCGAACAACATCAATTCTGTACGTCTATGGATAAAATTAAACACCAACATTCTTTTATATCTATGGATAGATTCGAACACCAGTGGCAATTCTGCAAGTCTATAAACAGATTAGAACACGGTCAATCCTGTTTGTCTATGGATAGATTTGAACACCGTCATCCTGAACGTCTTAGGAATTTAGGATAGATACGAGCACAGTTAGTCTTTGGATTTATTCGAATACCGTGAATGATGTAAGTATATGATTAGATTCGAACAAGGTCTATTTTGTTCGTTTGTGGATAGATTCGTACAACGTTTTCCTGTAAGACTATGGATAGATTCCAACGCCTTTGATTCTGTAAGTCTATGGGTAGATTCAAACGCCGTCAAATCTGTAAGTCAGCGGATAGATTATAACACCGTTAATTATGTACGTCTTTGGACAGATTCAAACACCGTCAAGTTTTTAATTCTATTGAAAGATTCGACCAGCATCAATCCTGCAGTATGTGGATAGATTCGAACACTGTCATCCTGTAAGTCTTTGAATAGATTCGAACACCGTTATCCTGTAAATCTACACCGTCTGACAATTCTGTAAGTCAATGGATAGTTTCGAACATCGTCAATAATGTAAGTTTTTAGATAAATTCATACACTGTCAATCCTCTTAGTCTAAGTTTAGGTTCGTACATCGACAATTTTGTAAGTGTTTAATGGATAGATTCGAAAGCCATCATCCTGTACGCCTTTGAAAGATTCGAACGTCATACTTTTGATCTGGAATACTGTTCGTTATCTTTATATGTTTCTGTAAGTCTATGGATAGATTCGAACAACAACAATTCTGTTAGTCTTTGGTGGATAGATTCGAAAACCATTATTTCTGAAAGTTCTTAATGGATAGATTCGAACACCGTTATTCTGTAAGTCAATGGATAGATTCGAACACCGTCAATTTTTAAGTCTACGATATATAGATTAGAATATCGTCATGATGTAAGTCTATAGATAGATACAAACACTGTCAATACTTTAGTCTATGGAAAGATATGAACACTCAATCGTAGATCTATAGAAAGATAAGAGCATCTTCAATTATGAAGTCTATGGTAAGACAAGACTCCCGTCAATTTTGTAAGTCTATGGATTGAATCAAGCAGTATCAATACTGTAAGTCTATGGATAAATTCGAAAACCATAATTCTTTTATGTCTATGGATAAATTCGAGCACCGTCAATAATGTAAGTCTATGGATAGATTATAACACCGTCATCCTGTACATCTATGGATAGATTTGAACACCATCAATTTTGTAAATTTATTGTTAGATTC